TTTTGGTTTTTCGAGACAGAGTTTCTCTGTGTAGCTTTGCGCCTTTCCTGGAACTCACTCTGTAGACCAGGCTGGCCTCGAACTCACAGAGATCCGCCTGGTTCTGCCTCCCGAGTGCTGGGATTAAAGGTGTGTGCCACCACCACCCGGCTCAAACCTACTTTTAAAGAGCAACTTGTTTAAAATGTTTTACATTGGTATAGATTTTAGTTTATTGATACAAATTTAGAGTTGATTTTGTTATACTATCTGTATATTTCTACTCTTGTTTAAGGTATTATGTTAATGTAACTCATTTAAATTGTAATGGATAATTTAAAAATACAGATTAATAGTCTTCTATGATAGTCAAGCTTATAGTCATGTTAAGTTCTAGGTATACATAGATATAATTCAGTTAGGTAGGTAATCTTCAAATACTTCAAAGGCCTACAGAATATGGCATTTAAAATGTTTTAAAAACTTAGACTTTCTAGACAGTGAGATACACCTGCTCCTGGCAGCACCAATTTACTTCAAAGAGAGAGATGGGCATTGAAGATACTTTATCTTCTTCTTGGAGTTTATCTTCTTCTTGGCAAAAATAGCCATTTGGGCAAGAAACTGTTCTTGCCTGGACTGCTTGACAAAATGTTGCATCAATTGGACATGAAGGACCCATAGGAAGGTGACCACTGAATTTTGCAAGGCAAAATGGTCCTTCAGGTTCCTGCTTCACAGAAGAAACTGCCAGACATTCTACAGGACACAGAGAAAAATGACTGAAAGACTAGGCCTATGGGCTGAAGATAGATGCCCCAACACTGCAGAGGAACTTTGGATGACTGTCCAGGCAGGCAGCTGTCTCTGTCATTCTAGAATTTTGGAAGTTGCTTACAATGCACTTCCTGTTTACTTAGGTAATATTATATCCTTCTGGGGTATGATGTAGTTGAAGACTAGATAGTTATAATTTTCTTTGGTTATGATAAAAGATAAATTAGATATGAAACTTTAGATTCACAGATATAGAATATTTTCTTTAATTTTGCTAAATACAAATAGACTAGATATTGTAACTGTAATTCTTGCTTGATAATTGTTCTATTATATGTAATTTTACTATGTTAAAGTTTAAAACCTTCCTTTTTGAAAAAAAGAAAGAAAAAGAGACATGCTGAGGATGTCTTTTGCATGCTGTGAATATGTGTTGCTCTGATTGGTTGATAAATAAAGCCATTTGGCCTATGGCAAGACAGTTTAGAGGCAGGTGGGAAATTCAAAGAGAGAGACAGGAAGGAGAAAGAGATGCCAGCGAGCTGCCCAAGGAGCAACATGTAATGGGACACATGTGGCAATACATAGATCAATAGTTATGGGCTAATTTAAGATATAAGAGCTAGCTAGCAAAAGGCTTGAGCCATGGCCATGCAGTTATAATTAATATAAGCCTCTGTGTGTTTACTTGAGGATGCGTGTGGGAGAGATTTGTCCCAACCACCAGCAGGCCAGGACACAGGAAATCTTCCAACTACATAGTCTTGTAGAGTCTGAAGCACACCTGTCAAGGCCCTTCTGCCTTATACAGTCTCCATTGAGAGGTCAGCTGTAATTCTAATAGCTCTGCTTTATATGTTACTTAGTCTTTTCCCCTTTTAATATTCTTTCTTTGTTCCTTTCACGGTGAACAATGATAAGAAGTCTAAACCAAATAAACCCTTTCCTCCCCAAGGTACCTTAGTCACAGTGATTATCATAGTAACTCTAAGACAATAATCCTCAAAAAACTCATTGTTTCACCCAGTTAGACTTGGTAGAATTATTTTTTTAGTCTTTCATTGGTACCCCACCTAAAGTGAATAGACATTTATTTCTGTCTACCCAAGAAAAGTTAAACATAATTAGCATGCAAACATGTACCTATAAAACCTAGTATGATTTGGAGAGGGGTAGCTACATGGCTGTGATGGGTGATAAGACATGCAATTGAGGCTGGTGCATATAAAAGTGGAGTTTTCATGAGGTCAAAACTGATAATGGCTATATTTTCTCATGTGCTATAGAATGGTATACCTTGCTGTAGAGTATGAAATAAGTGGTTGTATGCTCCCTGTGATGGGTGATAAAATATGCAACCAAGGCTAAGCCATCTGAGAGTCAAGTATTCTTAGGGGGAATCCTAGGGTAACCACTTTCTTCTATATGACATAGGAGGGCATGCCCTCTTGAAAAGAGTACAGGATGCCCTCTCCCCAAATGGCTAATCTATAAGAAAATATAATACTATCTCTGAATGTAACACATATGGGACAGAACTGTAAGCAGGATGTGGTGGCAGCTGCATGATCTTTGCAGTGGACAACAGAGCTGTTTTGCAGAAAGAATTTGCCCTTCTAAAGTAGGAATTATAATGAGAAAAAAACATGGGTGCTATCATCTGTATTGGGCTGTGATCTGGCAGGAAGAGTAGAAAACATACAGATGGAAGCATTGGCTTACTGATTTTTACAGCTAGAAAAAAATGGAAAAGAAACAATATCCAAGTTTGAGCTATGTTAAAGCATCATTCTCAGAATCCTAAAACTTGAAACACATTGAGAAAAAAATCAACCCGTGAGCAGGGAATGAAACACAAGTGGCAGAAGATATACCTCAAAAATCCATGATTCAGCATGCAGACAGCACCCAGCACAGGGAACTGTTATCACAAAATATTCGGCATCTGAACTGCTTGAAGTGGAGAAAGATTTATTTAAATAAGAAATGAAAGAGCTGCTCATATCCTGGCCATTAAGGCTACAAGATATGGGAGCCAAGGAGGATCAGTCTGAATGACACAAGAAACTGAGTTACATAACTAAGCATCATCTTTGAGACAAAGGCTGCATAACCTAGAGGCAATGAGAGGGAAATCAGAAGATAGATTGGTCAATACAGGCCTTCAGGGGCATTTGGTTATTGTCTGTTGAAGTTCCCACAAATATCTAGGACTGCAAGACAGTAGGATTGGCATTGCTGGGGAGATTCGAATGTCAAAGATAGTGTGTGATACCTATTCACCAAGTTAGATAGGACCATGTTCATGGGAGAATAAAGGAAAACTTGATTCAGAAGGGACCTGGGATTGAAGCTTTAAAGACTTTACTAGTCCCAAGTGAAATGTAATCTTTACAGGGTCTTGTGAGGAGGCTCTGGCAGAGCTAGATAGTCACACCAGCATGTAGTTTATCAAGTGCTAACAAAACCAAAAGGGGAGGAGAGAAGGGCAAAACAGACAAAGAGGTCTGTCCAGGTTATTCAAAGGCAAAGGTAGTAAGATTTGTGTCAAGGAGTTCCTAGAGAGAAAAGGCAAATGCTGTGCCACTGAGTTACAGTTATGACTGGCCCAACATGGGTGCTGGGAACCAAACTCAGTTTCTGGAGTATTTTACAAACCAAGAGTTTACCACAGTTATAACTGATAAAGCAATGCTGGGGGAAAAAATTAAGCATGTTCTAGGGGTGGGCAGTTATTCCCAGTGTATTGAGTACATTTTTCTCTGTAAGAATATATACTAGAGTTATAGATTGTTCACTCATCCAAGGCTCCCTTCAGGAAGCAGATACAACCAAGGAAAGGCAAGGGCCATGAGGCTGGCCTAGGACCTGCAAGCACAGGAAGCTGACTCCAGTGGCAAGCCCAGCAGGCTAGAGCATGGCCCTGCTGCCTCTTGGTTCTGGGCCTGACTTAACAGTTCATGCTTGTTCCACTAAGACTATCATATTCTAAAGCAATCCCAGTGAACCTAACATATTGCTCTCTCAAGTAAACATGATAGAAGTGATGAGATCTTTCACGGTGCACTGGACATTGCGAATGTATTTGGTATTTCCTTAACCATCCAAGCTCAACTGGCACTTGTTTAGAGTACACAGTAGTAGGCCTTCAGAGATCTTGCCCCCTATCTTAAAAAAAAAAAGTTTCCTTACACATTGCCAAACCTTTTGGAAAAGCATCAAAAAGTACAGTAAAATTAGGTTAAGACTTTCAACAAAACACCATGTACAAATGAAAAGAGCCACTCCAATAAAGCACAAGAGTGCTGAGTGAATAATCCCAGTGCCAAGGATGAGCTACTTTAGGAGTTGTTGGCCAGTGAATCATTTGAATCCACACAAGCCATTAAGATCTATGGCTGTTGGTTGTGTGCCAAAATTAGATAATTTCCTACTGCTGAACACAACACATGCTCTGACTGCAGAACATGGAGAAATCAGGCTACAATGGAGCTGGGATATCTTTTCCTGGTGTCTGGCTTTCATAGTATCAGCGATAGTATAGGCTGCTGGAAAACTTTCACAACAGTCCTACAGATATGAACTCTGAGTATTTTACTACTAGCACATCAGGGAATGTGTGCACAAGGGAATAAATAGTGGCGTGACTATTTTGAGCATTATCAACTGCTTCATAATTGGATGTAAGGCTACTGCACACCGATGAGGGAAGCTTCATTTTTGCAGAGGGCAATGGTTACTATGGAGAATCCTAACTAGTCAAGCTGCTGAGAGTGACTGTGGCCTAGTGGACCAGTGCTCAGCTGTAAATAGACAAAAATAATCCAGAATCTATACATCACCCCCAAGTTCAGACAACACTGTATAAGGGCAGATGCAAAGAATGTAAGAGCTAGATGAAAGGTTGTACAGCTATTTTCTCCTTTTCCTTTTAGAGGGAGAAGAGATACATAAAACTCAAGAAGCTAGTGAAACAAGTTTCAGGAAGTTCAGAAAGCTACAAGATTCCCAAGGACACTTTATAAAGATTATAATAACAAACTACTAGTACGTACAGGCTCTCCAATGGATACTGCCTGAAGAATGAGCAGGGAGGTTCAAGAATGCAGCTTTCATGAATCATCACCAATTCCAGGGTGGGCTCCACAGTGGCACAACTGCCTTTGAATCACCCATGCTCCTGAAAGTAACCCCGTCTAAGTCACTATTCTATTGCTATGAAGAGACATCATAACCAAGACAAGTCTTATAAAAAGCATTTAATTGGGGGCTGGCTTACATTTTCAGAGGTTAGTCCATTATCATCATGGCAGGCAGTATGGCAGTATGATGACAGACATGGTGTTGGAGAAGTAGCTGAGACTTCTATATCTTGATCCATAGGCAGAGTGAAACTGGGTCTGGCACAGGCTTTTGAAATCTCGAAGCCTACCCCAACACATCCTCCAACAAGGCCACACCTTCAAATCCTTCTCAAATGAGGCCACTCGCTGGTGACTAAGCATTCAAATATATGCACCTATGGGGCCATTCTTATTCAAACCACCAGAAACCCCTAACCCTTGTTCCTGTAAGTAACCCCCAAAAGTTCAGTGGCTCATCAAGTTCTATTTGGATGGAATAATTTCTTTGATCTGTGATCAGTGCCCTACCTGGGGTGAATAGCTGTTTATTTCAATTGCCCCCAAAAACTAACACAACACAAATGTTTAGTACACATACATTGAGGTATTCAAAACATTAAAAGTACACCTATAAGGACACCTAAAATCCATGGCTGTGTGAGCACACAAGATTTGAGAACATATGGAAGCATTTGCCATAATCCATACACATAATTTGTCTTCTGTGTGAATCACATTTAGCAAAGGTAGTGGAATACATTTTTTTAGTTCTAGTATTTCTTAAAGTTATTCTCTACTGTGAGATCACAGGTGAACATTAAATTACTTAGCAGGCACATAACTGCTACACATATCACATATCAATAGTGCTTTGCTCTATTGCAGTTGTTCACATACTTAGCAAAGCCTGAGATAATAATCAAGTTTCCATGTTACACTGTATGGTCTCCTACTTGACAGACTGTGAGTAGACTCCAGTTACTTTTCCAAATTCACTACATTCATGGGTCTTTTTGAGTGTGAGGCCCCCGTGTATTTTAGGATTCATTTTTAATTATGTGTATATCTGTGTATGAGGCACATGCAAATGCAAGTGCCCACAGAGGCCAGAGCCAGATCTCCCTAGAGCTGGAGCTACAGATGGTTATGAGTGGCCCAACGTGGGTGATGGGAACCAAACTCAAGAAGAGCAGTACATCTGTTAAGCCATTTCTAGGACAACTGACTACCTGTACTGAGCTTAATAATGTGAATACAAAAATGTGCACACTTACTAATGCACTTTCCTCATTCTTTACATGAGTTTCACTCTGTGATTATTTATGTTCCATATGATCAGAAGAATAAGTGAAGCCTTTTCCATATTCTTTCCATTTAGAGTGTATATCCACTGAAGTATGAACAGTAGAAGCTTTCTCAATTCCTAATAATCATGGGGTTTCTCTACAGTATGTGTTCTTAAGTGTTTACTAATGGCCAAGTGCTCAGTAAAGGCTTTCCCACAGTTCTTATATACATAGTACAGGTCACAGTCAAAGGGTTTCTCTCCTGTGTGACTTCTTAGATGTTAAAGATGTGAGGAAAGAAGTGAAGGCATTCTGACATTCTCTGAATTCATATGGCTTTTCCCCAATGTGAGTTAGTACAAGTGTAGTAAAGCCAGTGTTGCCACCAAAGGCTTTTCCACACTCTTTACACTGATATAATTTTAGTCCAGTGTTAATTCAGAAGTGCATCTTAAGGCTGCAAATTTCTAAAAAAGCTTGTACATATCTGATATTCAAAAGGCTTCTCACCAGTATGAGTTTTCATATGTTAAGTGAGTTAAGAAAAGCTGGTGAATGCTCTCCCACATTGCTAACACAGATAGGGTTTCTCTCCAGCGTATGTTCTTATATGTCTGTGAAGGTATGAGCACTCACTGAAGGCTTTCCCACAATCCTTACATTCATAGGGTTTCTCTCCAATGTGAGTTTTCATGTGTCTACAAAGGTAGGAAGAACGTGTAAATGCTTTACCACACACTGTACACTCAAATGGCTTCTCTCCAGTGTGAGTTCTCAAATGTGCAGTAAGATATGAGGAAGATGCAAAGGCCTTTCCACATTGATAGCATTCAAAGGGCTTCTCTCCTGTGTGACTTCTTATGTGTTCAATAAGGCCTGCGGATGTACTGAAGGCTTTCCCACACTCCTTACACTCATATGGCTTCTCCCCAGTGTGAGTCAATACATGTGTGGTAAAGCTAGTCCGTCCACTGAAGGCTTTCCCACAGTCCTTACACTGAAATGGTTTTATTCCAGTGTGAATTTGGAAGTGCTTCTTAAGGCATGAGGAATTCCTAAACGATTTTGTACACACCTGACATTCAAAGGGTTTCTCATCAGTGTGAATTTTCATATGCTCAGTTAGTTGATAAAAGCTAGTAAATGCCTTCTCACATTCCTTACAATCATAAGGCTTCTCCCCAGTGTGTGTTAGGGAATGTTTATTAAGGCACGAGCGCACAGCAAAGGTTTTTCCACACTCCTTACAGTTATAGGGTTTCTCTCCAGTGTGAGTTCGCATGTGAATTCGAAGGTAGGAGGAACGTGTAAACGCTTTCTCACAGACTGTACACTCAAAGGGCTTTTCTCCAGTATGAGTTCTCAAATGCGCAGTAAGATAGGATGAAGAAGCAAAAGACTTTCCACATTGGTTACATTTAAAAGGTTTCTCTCCTGTGTGACTTCTCATGTGCTCAGTAAGTCCTGAGCATTTACCAAACACTTTCCCACACTCTGTGCACTCATAAGACTTCTGCCTTTTATGACTTTGTACATGTGAAGTAAGGCCTGAGTGTGCCGTAGAGGCTTTTTCACATTCCTTATCTTCATAGCATTTCTCTAAAACAGAACAATTTGTGGACTGAGTAAAAGCTTTCTTACTTTGCTCCCATTCACGGAGATTTTCTTTACTGTGAGCTTTGCTGTGTGCCTTAAGTTGCAACTGATTAACAAAGGATTTGCCAAAATCACTGGATTCAAAGGAATTGTCCTGAATGCATGTCCTCTGGTAAGCAATGCTTGGCGTCTGAGCAAAGGCTTCTTCACATCGAATCAACACAGAAAGTTTCTCTTCAGTAGAGGTTTTCTTGACTAAAGGAAGTAAGTCTTTTCTATGCCAATTATATTCAGAAATCTTTTCTGTATTACAAATATTCATATATGTCTGAAGGCATGGGTGTTCACTGAAGAATTTTCCAACCCTCTTAGAGTCAAAGAGCTTCCTTCCATTGTGGCTTCCTGCCTGTTGAAAAAGAGATGAATGAGTACTAAAAATTTTTTCAGACTTATGTAGGACATTCTTGGGGTAACCCTAAAGCACAAAGCTTCATGCTAGGAAACAGGTCCCTGTGGGCAAAGGCTACTTCTCTCAAACATATTTTGTTCATGCATAGAAATATCACAGAATTCCAAATATTCTCTGACTTTGGAAACAAAGAAATACCTTTGTTAATCTTGCCAGTTGTGTCTCATTTGATATATCTGACCAAAAACTGTCCAGCTGAAGTTCTGTCTCAAGTTCCATTTTCCTTTCTGAAATAAAACATTAAAAAAATACACATACAAACATTTATACAACAAAATGGGATGTTAAGTATTTATTCTGATATTAAACATGCTAAATTAACAAAGCAAAGATAGAATTAAACATATTGATTATATAATCAAATTCAACTATATAATGCTATAATTTGACAATCATAAGGATCTAGGGTCAAAATAAAATTAACAATTTTTTTCCTTTTTACATTTATTTACTTAATGTGTGCACATGCATGTGTGCATACATGCATACATGGCATGGCACAAGGTTGGAGGTTAGAAAAAAAATTACTAGAGATGCTGAAAATATCTCAAAACCTGAAGTCCAAGGACTTCAGTGTTCAGATTTAAGTTGGCCTTTTGGTTTTTACATTTATTTGTTTATTTTGTATGCATTTGTGTGTGTACATGTGTACACATGAATATAGGCTTGCACCATGTGGGTTCAGGGAATCAAACTCAGGTAGTCAAATTTGGTAGCAAGTTTCCTTACCTGCTAAGGCATCTCATCAACTCTCTTTCAAAGTTTTTTCATTAGTGGCATTGAGAATGGATTTGCTCAAAATAAAATGTATCATAAATGAAAAAAAAAATTTCCTATGGCTAGAGAGAAGGCTTAGCAGTTAAGAGCACAAAACCTAGGTTCAATTCCCAGCACGTACATGGCTGCTCAAAACTGTCTGTAACTCCAGTCCCAGGGCTCCACAGGCACTGCACACCTGGTGCACAGATATATATGTAAGCAAAACATTCATGCAAATAAAATAAAAATTAAAAAAATAAACATTTTCTGAAAAAGCTTCCTGGTACTTCAAAACAATGCTGAACTTGTCGATAAGAAATCACGTTAACCCATGCTCAACCTGGAGACTGCCTTGTTCCACTGTAGTCAACAAATTTACTCCCTTCCTCCAACCAAGAGATCAGGCTGGGTTTGACAAGCTGAACTCCTATACATGGGAAATGATATATCAATGACAGAGGCTGACAAAAGAGATAACAAAGCTTCCCATAAAAGAGAAATTATATTTCTAATGAAACATGAGAATTATTATCTTTTTTGAGATAGGGTCTCAGGTGGCCCAGACAGGCCTTGAACTCACTATGTAGCCAAGGACAACCTTGAATACCTGATCCATGCCTCTATCTCCCAAGTACTGAAATTATAGACATGCAACACCATGTTTAGTTTTATGCAGTACCGGGAACTGAACCTTTTGTGTATGTTAGACAATTACTCTACAAATACTGCTACATCCCCAGCCTCTAGAACTGTTTTTATAAAGATTTATTTTTACTTTATGTATGTTAATATTTGCCTACATGTATGTATGTATACCATATGTATGCAGATTCCCAAGGAGGCCAGAAGAGGGTGTCAGATCTTCTGAGATTAGAGTTACAGATAGTTATGAGTTGCCATGTGGATGCCAGGAACTGAACCTGGGCCCTCTACAAAATAGCAAGTGCTCTTAATCACCTAGCCATCTCTCCAACTCCTAGAATTAGTTTTGAATAGTTCAAAATGCAAATACTCATTATTTGGGCTATATTTGACTCCTGATATCACATTCAGCCCTAAACATATAGTAAAGCCAGGCAATTGTGGCAAACATCTTTAATCCCAGCACTCAGGCTGTTCAAGGACAGTCTAGTCTACAGAGCCCCAGGACATCTGGGACTACACAGAGAAACCCTGTCTTGGAGAAAAAAATAGATATAAACATTACCAAGATTTCTTCAAATTGGATGTAACAGAAATGGAGAAAGATCTTCAATATCATGGGAAATGACTACACCAATAGTTGTTTAGTTTTTTGTTTGTTTTGATTGTGTTGAGATACTGTCTTGCTATGCAACCCTGGCTGGCCTTGTACTTGTTATATAGGTCAGGTGGCCTTGAGTTTGTAGCAGTCCTCCTGCCTCAACCTCCTGCATGCTGGGATTATAAGGTGCACCATCATGCTCAGCAAGTTGTTACCATTAAGAGTGAAACATTCACATGGGAAAATAGTGAAAATAGGTGATAGGAAGACAAATGAAGATTTTTCTGATGTAGTATATCAAAGATAGAGTATAAAGTTGTACATTTCTAAGGAAATGAGAGTGACGCTACTAACTCTAAAACCACATTTTTGACAACTGCCAATAACGGATTAAAATGTTCTAGAGTAATAACAACGTCTCTATTGTTTCCCATTATATTCACAGTTACATCATCAATCTTGAAAAAAACGTACTTTTCTTCCTTAAAAGGATACAGGGGATAATGACGGTCTCACCTACTGTGGTCACGTTCTGGTAGTTCTCTAGCATCACATCTCTGTAGAGGTTTCTCTGAAATCCATCCAATAAGTTCCACTCTTCTTTGGTAAAGTACACAGCCACATCTTCAAAGGTCACTGAGTCCTAAACCATCACATGCATGCCAATTTGAGCAAAGTGACATCACTTATGTTCGCTGGAGAAATGCAAAGGTTACCCACATGCCTGTAAAGGAGTCTGTCTCCCATATTCTATGCCAGAGTTCAATGATACCAAGACATCTCTAGCCACACTCATTCTGAGGACCTCATATAATCAATCATCTGACTTTTGGAACCACTTACTCATAAAGTTACACTTCTACAACTTACACAGGGAGCTCTTCACAGCCTGTTGATCTATACTGTAAATACTCATAAGCACAATACAAAGACTTGATAAATATGCGACAAGCAATGGCTTATCAGTTAAGAATACTTATTGCTCTTACAGAGGACCTGGATTTGGTTCCTAGAATACACACTGTAGTTCACAACTATTTGTAACTCAAGAGGATTCACCTTTCTCTTCTGACTTCCATGGGCAGCAGGCATATACATGGTATACATGCATATATACAGACAAAACACTCATACACATAAAATTAAAATCTATAAAGAAAATTTGTTAATGATGTATGAATGCATTCTTGGAGAACGATATCCACATATTCCTGATCATCTGCTATAACACTAAGAAAAATAAATTAGGCTACCAGTACCAGGAAAGTTAAGATTAGCATGGTTACTAAAACACTAAGGTAATCTCTTTAAGGGTAATCTCTCACCAATGTGAGACACACCTTCCCAGGAAAATCCAACTAGGGACTTAGTTTTGAGATGTTCTTTGTTGTCTTGTTGTTCTGATGAGCTCTGGGGAAAGTTTTACTCACAAGGAAATGTGTTCTCTGTTGATCTAATTATCACACCTTTTGGAAAGATACTAATAAAATTATTTTTATTTTTAGATAACCTCTATATTTTTCATTATTATAGTACCTCTTCAGAAACATCACTCCATCTTGTATGAATTTCATTTCTCAAGTAACTTTCCATGTCTCAATTTTCTACATTGGAATTCTTTAGTCTTCTGTGAATGTACAAAATAAAAACTATCCTAGTGGTTCATGTCGTTAATCCCAGTGCTCAGGAGGCAGAGGCAGGTGGATCTCTGAGTTCCAGGCCAGCCTGTCTACAGAGCGAATTCCAGGACAGCCAGGGCTACACAGAGAAACCCTGTCTTGAAAATATATATCCTAGTATTTCACATCTTTACAGCACTTGGGAGGGAGAGACAGAGATCTGCAAGTTCAAAGCCAATCTTGGCTATATAGCAAGTTCCAGACTAGCTAGGGTTACATACTGAAACCCTAGAATAAGCAAAAGGAAAGAAAATTTAAAAAGAAAGGAACATTAGGAGCTGACAGTGTAGCTCAATGACAACACACAGAAAGAGATCCTTTGTTAAACTTACCATTTGTATGTCTCAGGAAATACGTCCTCAGCAAATCCTGTTGATATCTTAGATGTTTGGGATTGTTTCTAAAATATTTTCCTGTTCTGAAACTTTACAAACAAAAAACAAATTTCAGTTTCAGGACAGAAAAGGTAAAGAAATTAAAAATCAGTGGGAGGTAAAAAATTGTAGTCCTATTTGCAGTTGTTTTCAAAATAACTATAAACACAGTGAGGGCAATGAGATGGCTCAGTAGATAAAGGTGCTCACTGTAAAACCTGATGCAGATGGATACCCAAGACCCCCATTACAGGAGACCAGACTTCTGAAAGCTGTCTTCTAACTTACCCTTATACGGTGGCATGCATGTACACATCTCCCCCACCCCGCGCCTCTCTTCACACACACACACACACACACACACACACACACACACACACACACACACACACACTCACGATTCCAACTACACTGAACTTATCAATGACCAGTTCTGCCCTCTCATTTTTTTAATATATTTAGTCCTGGGAATGGAATTCAGGTCATTTGGATATCCTTACCCACTTATCCATCCCACTAGCCCTCCAATTATTTTATTCCCAAAATATCAGACTGGATTAAACTTTGAAGTCTGATAGAGAAAATGTAAGTCTTATAACACCATGCTCTGGCGTTAGACTACTTGGTGATTTTAAAACAGCAGCGAGCCAGGCACGGTGGCTCACACTTACAATCCAAGCACATTGGAGGCAGAAGCAAAAGGACTGTACCTGATGCCCGACTGGTCAATAGAGCAAGCTCCAGGGCCACATAAGAGACGCTGTCTCAATTTAAATAAATAAACAAACAAACCAGGAGCCCTGGCACCTGCAATGTATGCTGTAATCTTAGGTGTACAAAAAGCTGAGGTAAGATTACTTGACCTCTGGAGCTCAGGGTTACACAAGACACTGTCTCAAGGAAAAAGCATAGGGGCAGAAAGAAGGAGGAAAATATAATTTCACTTTTATTTAATTTTGAATCAATTAGCAACATAGCATGGGTTTACTCAATCCCTGACTCAAATTATATCAGGTGCTCTCATTAAATTTAAATATTGTGTTACCTGTATCTTTTTTTTTAAGATTTATTTATTTTTTTATGTGTATTGGTGTTTTTCCTGAATATATGTCTGTGTGAGGATGCCAGATCCCCTGGAACTGGAGTTACAGACAGCTGTGAGCTGCCATGTGGTTGCTGGGAATTGAACCTGGGTCCTCTGGAAGAGAGGTCAGTGCTCTTAACCCCTGGGCCATCTCTCCAGCCCGTGTCACCTATATCTTAAATAACTACAAGAAAGATATGCCTCACTCAAACTGCACCGTTGTTTATACAGTCCATTTTCCTAACATATTCCATATAAGGCACAAAACTATTATTAAAAAATAAAAGTTAATTAATGTGCTTGGGAGGCTCAGCTGGTAAAGTGTTTGCTGTACCAAGAGTGTGGTGGCGTGAATGAAAATGGCCCCCCGTAGGCTGACAGGGAGTGGCACTATTAGGAGGTGTGGCCTTGTTAAGTAAGGGAAATGTGTAACTAGAGGTGGGCTTTGAGTTTTCAGAAGCTCAAACCAGGCCCAGTAATGCTCCCTTCCTGCTGCCTCCTGATCTGGACTTAAAACAATCAGCTACCCCTCCAGCACCATGTCTGCCTGCATGCATTAATATAACCCACCATGACCATAATGAACTAAACCTCTGAAGTGTAAGTCAGCCCCAATCAAATGCTTTCCTTTCTAAGAGTTGCTGTGGTCATGGTGTCTCTTTACAGCAATAAAACACTAACTAGGACAGTGGGTATGGCAGCTGACCTGTAATCCCAATGGGTAGAAGCAACAGAGACAGAGAGTCCTCCAGAGCAAGCTGGTTAGCTATACTAGCAGAAAAGGCAAGCTCCAGGTTCAGCAAGAGACCTTGCCTCAATATATAAGGTGGAGAGCAATTGAGGAAGATGCCCAACATCAACCTTGGGTCTCCACACACATGTACCCCCTCACATACAAATAGGTACATGTGCACATACATCACACATACATATACAATTATTAACTAAAGTAATATTTTTGAGGCCATGTCTAGCTGTATATACTTTTAATCCCAGCACTTTAGAGGCAGAAGCAAGCAGATCTCTGTGAGTTTGAGGCCAGCATGATCTACACAGAAAGTTACTGACTAGTCAGGGATAAATAAATAGTGAGACCCTGGAAGGAGTAGAGAGACCAGTCATGATGACAAGCACCTGTAACCCTAGCTACTAAGAACTGCACTAGGATCACTAGGAAGAAAATAGGAAGGAAGGAACAAAAGATAGGAATGACTGTTGCTATAGAGCTTGCAGAGGGCCAGCTGATGAAGTCTTTGTGCTTTATGATGATTTGAATAGGTATGGCCCCCATAGACTCATGTGTTTGAATGCTTGGTCCAATGGGCGGTGGCACTATTAGGAGGTGTGGCTTTGTTGGAGGAAATGTGTCACTGTGGAGGTGAGCTTTGAGGTCTTATACGCTCAAACTATGCTCAGTGTGGTATAGTTTCCTTCTGCTGCCTGTGGATCAAGATGTAGAACTCTCAGCTCCTTCTCCAGCACATCTGCCTGCAAGCCACCATGTCGCACCATGATGATAATGAACTGTAAGCCAGCCCCAATTTTTAATGTGTTCCTTTATAGGAGTTGCTGTGACCATAGGGGTCTCTTCACAGTAATAGAAACCCTAACTAAGATATGCTTGTATGAAGATTTCCATCATCTGACCTCTCAGGAGCTACTAGAGTTCTTGAGTGGATTAGTAACAAAAGACTTTGTTACTTGGGGGAAAAATGAGATTTTTCCATTTAATACTACTTCTCAGACTCTCTGTAAAGGAAAACCAGGGCTTATTCCCAGAAAGGAATCCCATGGAGGATTTTCAGATTGACCTATAAAGCACATGCCAGACACTAGGTTGCTGGTGACCAATGACCTTCCAGGGTGTTACTTATAGGTATGGCAAGCTGCAGAGGACAATGCAGCTGAGAACCCTCCCCTGGCTCAGAGCAGCAGGTCCTTGTCCTGGGAGAACTGGTTTCAGGCTCCATTGATTCAATGGAAGGAAGTCAGGGAAGTGTGGCAGGCTCTCTGAGAAGTGACTTCAACTGCAGCCCTGTCAGCACTCCTGAGACTCAGCTGTTGTATCTGCTGCAAGTGCTTCAGATTCTGTGTTAAAAAGTCTGGATGAGCTGGACAGTGATGGCGCACACCTTTAATCCCAGCACCTGGGAGGCAGAGGCAGGCAGATCTCTGAGCTTAAGGCCAGCCTGGTCTAGAGAGTGAGTTCTAGAATATCCAGACGAACACAGAGAAACTGCCTCAAAAAACCAAAACAAACAAACCAAAACTTCTGGATGAAATGCCCAAAGATTGCTGTGGCTCTGGCAGCCCAGATGTGTCTCTGTTCTGTGGTACATGGGAACTGCCTGGAGGGAATATTCAGACATTTAAGGACACTTAATTATATATCTGCTTACCATTCTGACCAATACCTATCCTTAAAACTGAGGAAGCACACAGACCTTCATCTCCATACAGTGTGGAAATGAAATAATGAGTTCTCTTTTGGAGAAAGTAAATACAAAACATAAGATGAAATTTTCACTTTTAAGTAGTTTATGTAGCAAATAACTTGCTCCACATGTGACATCAGGCTGGAGAGATGGCTCAGTGGTTGAGAGCACTGGCTGCTCTCCCAGATGGACCTGGGTTCAATCCCCAGTACCCACATGGAGGCTCACACTTGTCTGTAACTCCAGTTCTAGGAGACCCAATGCCCTCACACAAACATACATGCAGGTCAAACATCAATGTACATAAAATCTTTTAAAAAATAAAAAAAAAATACTGTGACATCAAGAGAAGTATCAAATAATGTAGAATGCAGTGGAAAAACCAGTATGCTAACCAAGCAGCCTGAGACAAAAAGTAAAACTTAACTGGGCACAGTTACACAAGCCTGTATGTCATTCCAGCACTGGGAAGTAGAAGCAGGAGGATCAAGAGTTTGAGGCCAGCCTGGCTACACAGCAAGACCCTGTCTCCAAAACTGAGAAAGTGGAGCAGGGCATCAAGATGGCTTAGCAGGTAAAGGTACTTGCTGCCCAGTCTGACAGTCTAAATTAAATCTCTGGCACCCATGAGAGAGAGAGAACTGACTGAGTCCTGCAAACAGTCCTCTCACCTCCACATATGCACCATGGCACATGCACATGCATACAATAATAAATCAAGTGATATTTTAAAAGAAAAACTAAAACTTTATTCTCCTTGAAGTTATGTTTTTGTTCCATTTTATATGAAGAGGTGGCCTTTCATGTTTTCCCATTTTCACTGTAAGCTAGCGACATCTGCAGCATAATCTTTAACTCCAGGTTTGGCACATTGCTTGAGGTCAACAGAATATACTTCGGGAGAAACATGACTGATTCATGAACTCGGTGCTTGTTACTTTTCACTGATGGTGTAACCGACACCAGCAGTGTGCTCATTCTCTTCTGTTTCCTCTATTTGTTCTCCACCAAATAACAAAAG